CCCCTCCCAGCGCCCCCGTGACGTCACCGGCCATATAAGGAGAAGGAGCCCCCGCGGGGATTCCCACGGGCCGCGGGGGGACCCCGGGCTGGGCCGAGAGAGCCCCAATATCCCCCTCCCAAAAACAAAAAAAAAAGGATCGGTGCCTTGGGGGATTTTTTTTTTTTTTCTCGTTTTCACCCACTTTCTTAACTTTTCTTAGGGAAACCCCTTCCCCGCGGGGGCCGGGCCAGCCGGGGGTTCCCCGTCCTGCGCCCACCCCGAGCGGCTGCGGCGTGGCCGGCGCTGATAAAGGGCTTCGGGGTCCCTGAGGTGCCCCGAACCCAGCCCCAGCCCCGGGGCCACGCCCGGGCTATCGGGGCCGCGCAGGCGGCGACTGCGGAGATAAAGGGGGACAGCGGCTGCTGCGGGACCGGGACAGCCATGGAGGGGGCGGCGGGCTAGAATTCGGTCCCAGTCCCGGCCCGCTGTGCTGTCCTGGCCCTGCGGTGGCACTGGGTGCCGGGGCTAGGCTGGAGCAGGTGGGTGCTGCCCCAGGGTCACCCCCAGCCCCCCCAGGGCCAGCCAAGGCCCTGCGCCCCATCGCACCTTGCCCCGGGTCAGGGTGTCCCCCTGGGGACGGTCCCTGGTGCCACCTAATGGCCACCGCCCTGGGGACACCGGCAGGGACTGTCGCCGTGTGTCCGTCACCGCGTGTCCCCCCCTCTGCCTCCACCAAGGCCTTTCCAGCCCCCCAAGAGAACCACGGGATGGATCCTGCCCCAGCCTCGGAGCCTCAACACCCCGCAGCTCAAATGCAATGGGGGCTTGTCCCCCCACCCCCTGCCCCTCCCTGGGAGCCCTAAGCCTTCCCCGGGGAGGAGGAAGATTTGGGGGGAGGAAGAGCCTCTCACCCCTGCCCCGGTGGGAGGGGAGGGAGCCCCTGGCTAATGTGATGAGAGGGGGATGAATCCATAAGCTGTTAAGCCGCTGCAAAGCCCCTCGCGTTCTGGCCCCGCTATCACCGACTTCTGCTCACATCTGCTCCCGGGGTTATTTTTAATCGGGTATTAAGGACTTTTGGGTCCTTCAGCAGGCAGAGTGGGGGCTCTGCTTGTNGCCTCGGAGCCTCAACACCCCGCAGCTCAAATGCAATGGGGGCTTGTCCCCCCACCCCCTGCCCCTCCCTGGGAGCCCTAAGCCTTCCCCGGGGAGGAGGAAGATTTGGGGGGAGGAAGAGCCTCTCACCCCTGCCCCGGTGGGAGGGGAGGGAGCCCCTGGCTAATGTGATGAGAGGGGGATGAATCCATAAGCTGTTAAGCCGCTGCAAAGCCCCTCGCGTTCTGGCCCCGCTATCACCGACTTCTGCTCACATCTGCTCCCGGGCTTATTTTTAATCGGGTATTAAGGACTTTTGGGTCCTTCAGCAGGCAGAGTGGGGGCTCTGCTTGTTACCCCCCCCCCCCCCAAGCAGGAGCTGTGATTTGCGGGGCCTCTGAGGCACCAACACCAGCCCCGCTGCTATTTGGGGGGGGGGGAAAGGGACCTTCTGGGACCCCCATCCCCTCCACACGCAGCCATCAGCTCTGCAGAGGGTCCCAGCACTGGTCCCTGCAGGCTGGGAGCACTGGGGAAAGGCTGGAGGGGGAACCAGGCAAGAGACTCACATGGGATATAAAAGATAAATATATAAACAAACAAATAAATGTATAAAATATATAAAAAATAAAGAGATATTTATTAGCGTTGAGTAAAGTGCAACCTCAGCGTGGTTGGAGGCTCAGCAGCCGAGGGAAGGGCAGGAGAGAAGCTCAGAGAGAGGGAATGGCACGAGCAGGGCTGTGCCAATGGGATACAGGAACTGTACAAGGGCCTTAAAAACAGATAAACAACACCAGATAAATTATTTACAGTTCAAATCGATTCAGGAGGCTGAAGGCTCAGGACCTGCTGCAGACTGGGAAAGCAAGAAGAGGGAGTGGGATGGGACATAGGCCCTGAGCTGGTATGTCAGGGGAGTTTGGGGGTTCGGGGCAGCAGTTGGGGGCAGCTGGGACTGTCCCCTGGCATCAGGCTCTGCTCTGGGGGGAGATGTAGTGGGGTGAAGCCTTGGGCCTGCTGCTCCTGCTGGAACAGGAATTCATTGGGATTTGCACACGGGCTGTGATGAACAGGATCAGGCCCTGTGCCTGGATGTCTCTGCTAAAGATCAGCAGAGGTTTTCACACAAGAGCTCAGCAGTTCCGTGGAGCTGCAGGGGCTGCACTGCTGCTGGACACACCACCAGCACCTTCCTGGGCTGGTGTCCTCTCCTGGAGCTATGGGCTGGCAGCGGGATGTCTTTAATGGCAGAGACTCTGTCAGGGCTGTGACAAGGTGGGAATCCTACTGGAGACCTCAGTGCCAATGGCTCTCTGTGTCACTGTCTAAGTAACTCCAGAGGGGATCTGCTCCATTTACAAATACAAGAATTTTTCTTGCCAGTGCCTTAAACTCCCCAGGGAGGCCTGAGCTGAACAGTGCTCCTCCTACTCACAAACATCCAGAGCTAAGACTCTGGAGCCAAAACACAGCTTCAGCCCCTCTGTGGATGTGTGAGCTGGTGGGGTCCAGCCTCTCTCCCACCCCAGAGCCATTTCTGAAGAGATTAGGAAGAAATTCTTCCCTGTGAGGGTGGGGAGGCCCTGGCACAGGCTGCCCAGAGAAGCTGCAGCTGCCTCATCCCTGGAAGTGTCCAAGGCCAGGTTGGACAGGGCTTGGAGCAACCTGGGCTAGTGGAAGGTGTCCCTGCCCATGGCAGGGGGTTAGAACAAGATGAGCATTAAGGTCCCTCTCAACCCAAACCATTCTATGGTTCTGTGAAATGCTCATCAAGGCACTAAAAGCTGCCCAGAGCAGCACCCACAGGGGACAGGTTTTGGTCTGGCAGCCTGGGCCACCCCCAGTTCATGCTGGAGGAGCTCCTGGGGTCTGAATGAGGAACTGTGCCCGCTGTGCTCTGGGCTGGAGACAGGCTGGAGCCATGTGGCTTTGATCCACTCTCCCCTCTGGCCAGTGGGAACAGGGATCAAGTTTGCAGCCCGAGCCTGTGTCTGGTTCCTTCGCTGACCTCTGCGGCACCGTGGGTGGGGGTCAGAGGGCTGGAGCAGCTGGGGCTGTTCCCCCCCAGACCTCAGCTCACTGGGACCACTGGTGTGAACAGTGCTGCTCTGGAGAGCACAGCCCCTCACAGAGGGGCAGAGGCTGCATTGTCCTGCGACACAGTCACCAAAGCCCCTCAGATCCCTCCCGACGCCTCGGATCCGGCCCGGGGAGGGCTATTGCCGCTCGCTCCTGACGTGGTCCCCGATCATCCGCCTGTGGTAGGTGGCCAGGAAGATGTCGTTGTCGCGGGGGCAGTCGTAGTGGCAGGAGCACACCTTGATGAACATCATCTTCCTGCGGAAGGAGTCCCCCTCGGGGCAGCGGAACTCCACGTCGGCGGTGCTGGTCAGGTCGGGGGTGCAGCACCGCCCGTCCGAGCAGCTCCCGCAGAACCGCGGCCGGTACGAGCGGGTGCTGGTGCACCCCGAGAACTCAAAGTGGAGGCTCTGGCGTGGCCTTGGGGTCCTCACGCACTTCTTCCCTTTCTGGGGAGAGAGTGGGTGGATTAACGCAGACGGGAAAGACGCACCGAGGCCTCTGCTCCACCCCCATCACTGCACAGCGGGGCACGGAGACAGCGGAACCACAGAGCAAAGCCCCTGAGCCAACACCATTCCCAAGGTCTCCCCTGCCATTTGGGGAGCTGTGTCCCCCTCTCCCCAAGCCCCCACCTTGGTTTTCTCCATGGGGAAGTCGCAGGGCCGGACCATGCAGAGCCGGGTCTCCTTCTCCAGGCGGCACTGGGGGTTGTCGTTGGTGACGCGGGCGGAGATGCCCATCCCGCAGCTCCGGGAGCACGCGCTCCACGCCGTGGTCTGCACCAGGCAGTTCTCCTGCAGGTTGTTCAGCTCAGGCTTCTGGGCTGGGTCCTCCCTGAACACTGAGCCATGGGGAAGAGACACAAGGTGAGGCTCAGGGCTCGGGACACAGCGTGGCAGCTCCACGGCTGCTCCCAACCTGGGCTAACGCTGCAAGAACAGCAGCAAAGGTCTGGCCCATCCCGTGAGCTGCTCGGCCTCTCAGCAGGGGGAGGATGCAGGGAAGCATTTCCTACCACAGCACAGCTCCAGCCAGCTCTGCTGTGACACCACGGGGTCCACACAACACCACTGAGCTCTTCCATCAGCGGCTCTGGTACCCACATGCCAGTGTACAAAACCACGACCAGTTCCAAACCAGTCAATGACCCAATGCACAGGTAGTTTGGATCCTCTCCTATTCCCCAGCAAACAACTCTTGGCCCCATCCATGAGCCCAAATCCACAGGTAGTTTGGATTCACCCTTATTCCCTAGCAAACAGGATCCTTATTCCCTAGCAAATAGGATCCTCTCCTATTCCCCAGCAAACAGCTCTTGGCCCCATCCATGAGCCCCAATCCACAGGCAGTTTGGATCCACCCTTATTCCCTAGCAAACAGCTCCTGGCTCCATCCCATGTGCCCCAATTCAGAGGTACTTTGGATCCACTTCTCTTCCCCAGGAAACAGCTCCCAGCTCTGTCTCACATGCCCCAATCCACAAGTAGTTTGGATCCATCTCTCTTCCCCAACAAACAGCTCCTGGCCCCACCCCACCCACCACAATTCCATAGGTAGTTTGGACCCCACGTACCCCAGCCCACAGGTGGTTTGGATCCACTCCTCTTCGCCAGGAAACAGCTCCCAGCCCCATTCCCTGTGCCCCAGCCCACCGGCAGTTTGGATCCATCCCTGTTCCCCAGCCGACAGCTCCCGTTCCCATCCCAGCCGCCCCGCTCACCCGCCATGGCCGTGCCCAGGTCGTTGTCGCTGCCCTCCTCACACACCCACTCCTCACAGCACTTGTTGTGGACCCGGACCCTGCGGGGGTGGGGGCAGTCGGGGGACGGCAGGCGCAGGTCGTCGGAGCAGAGCGGGATGCAGCCGACGGCGCCGTCCAGGCAGATGCACTGCAGTTTGCACGTGGGCTGGAAGCTCTCCCCGTTCAGGTAGATCTTGCCCAGCAGGTCACACGTCGCACCCTCATGAGCTGTGGGAGGAGGAGGAGGAGGAAGAGCAGAGCTGAACTTCTGCCCCAGGAGGACCTGGGGCTGCCGAGGAGGGACAGAGCCCACCCTGCCCTGCTCTGCCATCTCGGTGCTGGACTGGGTAATATTTGCCTCTCTGGATTCAAGGCTGCTCCTGGCATTGATTTTTTTGGAACCGCCAACCCTCCCAAAGCTCTCTAGAAAAATTTCTCCTCCATTTGGGTGAGCTACCAAGTGTGACACTGCCTTTACAGCCCGTCCCCCAGTCAGTGCCCAGTCAGTGGTGTCACAGCCCTGACATGGCACATGAGCAGCAACTTTGCTCCTCAGTACTCCTGGCAGACCAAAAGGCAACGTTCTCCCAAGAGCAGCTGGTTCCCACATGGCTGATGGCACCTACAAAGGAAATGACACTTTGGGCTGGTGACCTTTCTGGCCCCTCTGTGATGCACAAATCTCTTCTTCCTTCCAGCTCCAATTTTTTCTAGTTCTCTCTCTTCTGATCTCCGTGTCTCTCATCTCCAGCCCTCCTACCAGTCTTTCCCTCCCTCCTAATAAAACTTGGGCATAAAAGGAAACACAACAATATCTGACACAGAACAGCAAAACCTTCACTCTGCTCCCCAGCTCTTATATTTGGCTTAGCCAAAAACTTTCCCAGTGGAAGTTTTCCAGCAGAAATCTCTGATTTGATTGAGATCAGGAATGGTTTCAATAGGAATCAACTGAAGCACTTCATTTTGATATCAAAGATTTCCTTTGTGCTCAACCAAAATACTTGTGGGACAGTGTCCACAGTGGGAAGTGTTTTGCTCTGGTAATTATTTTAGGCACTATAAAAGGTCAAGATAAAATATTTTGATAAAATGGAAGCAGAAAGTTTTGACACAGCCAAATGAGTATTCTAAATAAATAATGAAAACAAATTGAGGGGTTTTTTTAAATATATAGATATTTAGATGTATTTTTTATATATATATTTTTTTTCTATCAGCCTGAAATGAAATGTTGAAATTTCAGAGTTGTTCACAGGACAGAAATCCTGATTTTTGGACAGTTCTCAGCAGCTGCTGCTTCCTGCAAAAAACCATGCAAACCTCTATTGGGAAGTTACCAAAATGAAGGATTCTTGGCTGCTTGTGGAGGCTTCCCAGGAAACCTGACCTATTTTGTCCTTAGTCCTGCTCACCCAGGGGACACTGTGTCAGGCAGAAAGTGGTTGGACTAAACAAGGAGTGAGAGCCTCTTTCCATCCCATCCCTTGAGGGGACACAAATCCTTCCGGACTGTTCCAAACCGGAGCTGGATCTCGACTTGCAACTCTTTTCAATGCCACTGGGATAAAAATACTCCTGTGCTCCAACTCAGAAGTTTCAAAATCCTCACTTTTTCCATCAAAGTGGAAGCCATCCATCCACCCTCCCTCCACACAGCCATTCAGACTTATTTTTAAACCCTCTCTCCCTGTTTTTCAGCCCGAGTGCTCTCCCGTCCCGCTGAACGGATCGTGCTGTTCCCTCTCCTCCCTCCCCACCCAAGGAATGGCAGCTCACCCCAGGGGTTGATTATGTTTTCCAAACTCAGTGGTTCTGTCGTGCCCTTCATTACCCTCCCTGACCTCCCTTTCCCAATGACCTGATCCAATTAAGGCACCGAAACGACGGCGCCCGCAGAGAGAGGTGGTTCTTTATTCCCTGGCAGTGCCCGACCCCAAACACCAACTCCAGCCAAGGAGACTTTTGCCCTTTTCCACAGGGAGTATGTCAGGGCTCAAGGAGCCTCTCCAGCTCCTCTGCCAGGTCCCAACACCCACCCAGGCCACTCTACCACCGGTAGGAACCCTACTCCAGAGTTACTACAGGATTGTCTCTACCTTTCTGATACTCCAAGGTCTCTGCAGGAAGAGAAGGATTCCTCTGCATCGTGTGGAATGTGATAACATTAAGCAAATACACAATAATCTTCCTTCTGAGGGTTCCCTTCCCATCTCTGCTGATATGGCCCTCGGGCTGGTCCCAGCTGAGACGCCTTTCCCGTGACACTGGAACACCTCAGCTCCTTTCTGCTCCCAGAACATCTGTCTTTCTTGGATAAATGTAAGTCACATTGATCCTTCCCCTTCTCTGATTCACCACTCCACCTTCCTTCCCTGCCTCCAAAATCCCCCCTCTTCCAACAGATCCACGTGGACACCACAAAAACATCACCCAAGGACCTTACTGCTCAAATCCTCAGTTCATTTCAGGGAGATATCCTGGTCTGGGTTCACTGGCAGTTTTGCCCATGAAAAGCTTAATTTCTCACTCAAAAGCAGGAAGGATAGTTGTGTCAGCAAGTCTGATTTCCTCCCCAGCACAAATTTGGGACTCTTACTCCAAAATGTTCTGATCAAACCTGATATGTCACGGTGAACACAAAGCACCTTTGTCAGAAAGATGTCCAGGCTTTGTGGGGAGGCTTGAGAGGAAATCATTCCCATGATTTCACTGCCTTTCCTCCACAAACCCATCCCTCATTCCCAGTGGGAATGATGCAGCCTGCAGCTCACACTTTGCTGGGTGTTACCACACCTACGTTCACCTCATTAAACTTCAGTCCTCAGCTCTCAGGTGTCAATGCCTACAGAAAGTACCAGGAGCTCCCATGGCTCCTAAAGATCCCAAAAAAACTGAGTGAGGGAAATGAAACAACTTATATAAACTTTTCAAAATGAAAAAAAAAAACCAAACAAATAGCTTCTACAAGTTAGATTCGTTTGGACAAGGGCCTGAAGCTCCTGGCAGAGATGTGGCAGAGGAGTCTTGTTTTCAAGCAAAGAACAGGAGATTGAGGAAATACTTGCCTTTTTTTTTTCCCCTCTTGACCAAAGTCATTTTTGCCTGTTTTAAAAAGAACCACCAAATAAAAACATAAAATCAAAAAAAAAAAATATTTTCTTTTCTGGCTGAAAAGAGGCACGAGGAGAGAAAACAGCTTCTTGCCTTTGTGTTTACCTGGCTCAGGAATTCTCATGTTCCGCACAGACACAATGCAGTGAAGGAGCTGTTCAGCTCTTCCCACCCACACATTCCAGCCAGAAACACACTTTGGGAGCAGCCAAGTGCAGAACACCCATATCCAGTGCAAGGCAGGGGGAAAAAGTCCTTTCAGTAAGAGCCCAGACTGCTGATATTCACCCACAGGGATAGAGGATGTGTCCTAAGGGTGTCCCAGGACACAGGAGAGATCCACAGCCCCTTTGGAGCTGAGGGAAGGAGCTGTGTGTGTGTCAGTGGATTTGTTGGCTCCCAGGGAATTCTGCTGGGTGTTCTTGGAGGCTCCCTGGAAAGCCACCCAAGAACAGAACATGCAGGTCTCACCTAAGCAGATCCCGCTGCCTCTGTGGATTTTGGAGAAGTCGCAGTAGAGTCCCTTGTGGTGGTCACAGGGCCTGTGCAGGGAGCAGAGCTCTCCCAGCTGCCTGGCACACACCTTGCAGCAGCCACAGGCATCCAACACGTGGCTGGTGCCAGCAGGGCACTGCAGAGGCTGGGAGGGACACTGGCACGGGAAGGTGCAGGCCTGTGCTTCTCCCTGGAGGGCAAAAACCCACGGAGAGGATGAGTCCGGGCAGGGAAAGGGAAAACACGGCTCTGCCACAAGTACAGGCACCCCAGAGAGAGGAGGGAGAGCCCAGGGACTCACAGGACTTTTCTCATCCCTCATTCCTCTGGAGCTCCAGGGGAAAAAAAGATGCCTCTGGGAAGCAAAGCCAAAACAAACAGGACAAGCAGTAGCTCGGAGTCCCCTGCACAGCTCACCCTCCACCTCCCTGGAAGCAATAAAGTGGTAATTATTAACAGCAAGCAATTCCAGCTCTTACACAGGACAAACATCAAAGCCTCTGCAGCAGCAGCAGAATCAGACCCAGCTGGAGCTGGAAAAGGACGTGCACAGGTACAGAACTTGCCCAAAGTCAGGCAGAGGGATTGGAGCAGTGCTAAAAACTGACCCAAAGGCTCCCATTTTGTGCCCTGGATTGCACACTTCCTTCGTTATTCCCAGAGATGTGCCCTCTCCTCTCCCCTTTCCAAGGAACACAACATAACCAACCTTCCTCGGGACTTTGTGACTCCAGAGCTGCCCCCATGGGCAGCATTTCACTGGCCACCCCTTGAAACCCACCCGTGGATTTATGCCACTTCAGACACTAAACAGAGACCAGGCTATGGCTGAAGGGGGGTTTCCTGCTCTGGAAAACCCAGGATGTGTCCAACACCCCAATCACTGAGTCTGTGCCACCTTTGTCCTGCATCTGCCTGGAGCAGCTACAGCAGCTCAGCTCTGGATTTGCCCGAGTTTGGGAGATGTGACACCCTGAAGTCACACCTAAAGATACTCTGAAACCTCCTCAGTGCCAGCTCCAGCCTGGTTTTCTGTTCCTGCCCACTCCAGTCCTCCCTTGCCCTGCTCCATCACCACTCCAACCTGCTCAGGCACTGCTGGACACGGCTCAGCTCCCACCCGGGGCTGACACGACCTTTGCACATGGATGATGCCACCAAAACACTCTGGGATCCTGTCCTGCTGTGATCTGGGTGGAGAGGGAGGCACCCAACTGGACAAGCCCCTCACAGCTCCACTGGCAAACCCGGGAGAGGGGCAGCCAAGCTGGGAAGAGGTGAGGGACACACACCTGGGACAGAGGTCAGAGAATAAATCTTTCTTTTTTTACAGCTCTGTTTGGACTTGTCACATCCCACCCAGCCCTCCCTTGGGAAACAGCCTCCTTGGATATTGTGTTTGTCACCGACAACAGCAGGAAGACTTTTCCAGCTGTTTTGACTGTTGCTCTGACTTGATCTCATGTGGGGTAGGAAGGTGCCAACTGCTTTGTACGGCTGGAACACCCAGCACAGCCCAGGGCAGGACTGGGAGCGGGCTAAACCTTCCCTCAGAGTCATGGAACTACAGAATCATAGAATATGCTGAGCTGGAAGGGACCCACAGGGATTATGGAATCCAGCTCCTGGCCCTGCACAGACACCCCAGCAATCCCACCCTGTCCCTCAGAGCATTGTCCAAACCCTCCTGGAGCTCTGGCAGCCTTGGGGCTGTGCCCACTGCCCTGGGGAGCCTGGGCAGTGCCCAACCACCCTCTGGGGGAAGAACCTTTTCCTGAAATCCAGTCCAAACCTCCTCAGACACAAATCTAACCATTCCCTAGGGTGCTCCCAAGGGCTGAGCCCTCCCAGAATCTCCCTGCTCAGCAGGAATCAACCTAATTCTCCTGGATCCGTCCTAGCACAGAGTGTTTTGGAGCCAAGCCCCTCCTCCCTGCAGCCCAGCTGTTCCCAGCCGGCAGTGCTGGAGCAGCTCGCCAGGAGCTGGCACGTCACAGGGATCAATTCCCAACCACTGAAGTGCATTAAAAGAACTAAAAATACAGAAATCTTCCCTACTGCTTTTTCGTGTAGGCAACTGCTGGAGCTGCCAAGGGATGTGTTGTCCAGCCCCGGGTGAGTGGGTGGGGGGTACGTGAGCTCACACAAGAGGCAGAGCATTCCTGACACGGGATCTCTGTTGAGATGCAATCCATGCACTTCAGAAAAAATAATGGCAACAAGCATTTTCCAGTGCAGTGTCAGCCACAGGCCATAGAAAAAACACTCTCAAAATAGCTCTCCTGCTGAAATCCAAACCAAAACAACCTCTTGCGGGATGACAGAACACAGTGGAATTAAACTCATCCCTGGAAGTGTTCAAGGACAGGTTGGACGGGGCTTGAAGCAACCTGGGATAGTGGAAGGTGTCCCTGCCCATGGAAGGGGGTTGGACAAAATGGTTTTTCAGTTCCCTTCCGGCCCAAACCATTCCATGATTCTATGAGTTCTCTTCCTTGCTCTCATTAATCCTTGCTGGCTCTGGTGATTTCCTTGATAACTCACCCACACAAACCACCTCACCTGGTTTTACCTTCTGCTTTCAGAGCACAGCATCTGCATTCAGATCTCTGGCATGTCAGAGACCTGCTGGGTGACCCTGCACCCACCTCAGCTGTGCCTCATTTCCCTCAGCTCAAACCCCCAGTCCATCCTGGTTTTCAGGGCTCTTTCCAATACTCTTTCCAATACTTTCCAATGCTCCAATTCCCACCAGTCAGCTTGGATGTGCCTCCCTCCATCACCCAGAGGCTGTTGGAGCTCCTGTTTGCTGGTTTTATCACAGACTAAAGTCAGCCTGTGCTATTCATAACTCCTGCTGCTCTCCCAGGTCCAGGAGAGGAGGGAATGAGCTGGAATTGGGTTTGGCTCAAACCCTCCCCCCCCCCCCGATATTGAGCACTGAAAAACTGCCTGGGCAGGGGAACCTCTGGAGCTGGGAACAGCTGGGACAAAGTCAATACTGAACCAGTCTCCTGAGTCCTCTGTTACTCAGTTTTCCTTCAGATAGGCTAAACAGGGGATTATACTGCATTTGCAAGGAGCACCTTCCACCTGCATTCTTTCCAAGGACTGCTTCTAGGAGTTGTTTCAACACAGCGTGGAAACTGCCCCAAGACTGCCCCAAAGAACTCCCCAGCCTGTCCCCAGGAACTGCCAGGACTGGAATTAGGGGCTTTGCTGCAGACCCAAATGTAACACAAAGCCCAGCATTTCCACATAAACTGCCACTGACCTGGGTCCAGAGGGATTCAACTCAGGGAACATTTCATTTTCTTCCCTCTGCAGAAGGGGCTGCCCCAAAACTCACTTTTACTTTCACTGAGCAGGATCCTGATTTCAGGGTCACTACAGCCTTGCCCTTGTTTCTGTTGAGGTTGGCAGAGCACTTCTGTGAACTCTGAGAGCAGCAGAACACAACCAGTCTCAGGGATCAAGGCCGTGGAGTCAAGGAGGTCCTAAAGCCTGGAATATCAGCTCTCCCTGCTCCTGGCTTTGCTGGCAGCTCTTGCATCTGTCACAAACACTGTGTGAGAAGCTGTGGGACTCCCAGGACTCCTGAGTGATGGCCAAGCCACTGTGGGAGTGCCAACACTTGGATAGAAGATTCCCCTGCCTCTTACTCCCAGGTTCCATCCCAGCTGACAAGCCAGAACAAGCTCCCTCCCAACTGCCAGCACCAAACCCAGCTACCTGGGGGTAAGAAAGAGTGAGAACCTTCTTCCTGCTTCATATTCACATAAAACCTCTTCCTCACCTCAGGAGGGCACAAGCTGGGGACATGAGATCTCACCAGGTCTGTGGCACCCTCGGGATTTCTTGTTCCTGATCGAGGTTCATGGGAGAGCCCAGGGAACCAGCAAAGGGAGCCAAACCAAAGAGGACTTCTAAAGTTTATTTGGGCTCATCACTGCACTCAGAGGGCTGGGAAAGGAGAGTTCTGAACTGAGCCAGGGGTTAATGCTGCCAGGTGGAGGTGAGATAATAAACATCCAACTGGTTCTCCTTGTGCTCCAAGACCAGCAGTAGATAAAGCAGCCAAAACACAGCTGTTCATCCTCCAAACAC